AACCTTCTGGTCTGAAGAAGGTTTGGCTTCACTATGTCATATACCAGGTCACGGTTCCCAAGGAAGCAGACACTGAGTTTTACTGAGGAGCCAGCCTGAGGGAGATGAAGAAGGAGATACAGGGGTGGCGAGGCAAAGTCAGCCTTGGTACTGTTCTGTTATCTACAAAAGGAGAATGTGAAGGAGAGACAACTGGACAGCAAGAGCCTGAGACTATGTTGTAGCTAGGGGAACCCAGAGATGAAGATTTCCCCATATGGGGCAGAGGCAAGCTCTCACACCTCGCATGTCAGTATGTTTTGAAGATTATAGCTGGATGCTAGAAGTTAGCTGCTCGCCTCTAAGATTTTCTCATGAAGCATATCTGAGCTGCACACCTGCCAAGCTGCAACATGTTGTCCCCAAGATGAAGCTAAAATGACCCCTCAGTACTTTACTGATTTCTATCTGACTCTTCCTGAGAGGAAATCAAGAAGGATTCACTCAGTGCAATAAAGTATGGCCACAATCACTGCAGCTAGTATGGAGGCTGAAACTTAAAATCAGCAAACCCCTTGGGTATAGTCATTAATTAACCGGACCCTTGCGAACACATTTGCTGGCCTTGGTGGTCACAAGATTAGTCTCTTTCATGAGAAGTTGGAACTTCTTATGACTGCAACCTCCATGAACCAAGTTTTCTGTATGTGACATCTCAAAGTCACAAGTGAGCAAGGGAGTATCAAGAGATACCCCAAAGCACTGGAGAGATGACTCCGCGGTTAAAGGAAAAGGCTCACAACCAAAACTCTGAGAAATACCCAATGCTATTTGTCCCCTGTATTCCAAATACATTTTTCTTTGCTTGGTTGAAAAAGCCATCATCCTCTCTGCACCCAATGGTCAAGGTCAGTGGTTTTGTCCACTATGAGGATGCTTTTTTTATTTATTTGTGTGGTATATATGTATGTGGACTCATCTGTGCTTGTATTTGTGAAGGCCAGATGTCAGTATCTAGTGTCCTTTTCTATCAATCTGCATCTTTCTTTCTTTCATTCTTCCTTCCTTCCTTTCTTTCTTTTTATTTCATTTACTCTTTTTTTTTTTTTTTTTTGAGACAGAGTCTCCTGCTAATGCTGGACCTCACACTGACTGGCTCACTGTTGTAAAGACTGGAAAGTCCAAGATCAAAGGGCTGCATATGATGATGGCTTCCTGGTTTCACTATAACTTGGTCTAAGGCATCATGGGAAAAAAGAACATAATATGTTAAAATGCAAAACTCCAGCCCATTTATAATCAGCATAAATCCTTTCATACAAATAGAACCTTTCTTATGAAATACCTACTATCGGGCTCTACTTCCCAACACAGTTGAATTGGGAATTGCATTTCTAACATGTATCTGTTTTTGAGAGCACAGCCAATCAACAGCAAACTGGAAACACAAAGTCTTCTAGTGGAGCAGTGGTTATTTCCTCAACTGGCTTTACCCATCATTGTAAGTTTTCTCATCAAGTAAGATCTCAACCACACACTACTGTAGCTATCACATGAAATATTTAATCTTCTACTTATAAGAGGTTGCATGCATACCCACATACTATAATATCACTTGCAGCATCTTCTGGTGACAGAATATATCCCTTGTCTTAATTAGCAGAACGTAAACAAAATATTACACACCACATATGAACAGCAGTCTTAGGGGTTACTGGGTTTTAGTCATGATCACTCTATGTCAGAAGAACATCATAACTCAATAGGGGCTGGTCATAGAACGAAGACAGACTGTGAACTAGAGCTACAGCTAATGAACCATTGCTACTTCATGATGACCTAAATAGATCTGCCTAATAAGTCTGGGGCATTTTGATTTGCATTCATTTCTTTGGACTCTTTGTAACAGCTATTCTCAGTGATGGATACCTCCTCTTTGGGCTTCTGGGTTGACAACATTAGAAATAAATGGATGAAGTTCTAAAGGCCCAAACTCACAGATCATATTGACAGACACTGACACAGCAGATGTGATTCTACTGTTACCTTTAGGATGGGATATCTTGCAATTGGCATGTTTTTAATAAAAACCCACAGATATTCAGCAGATTCGGAAACTGGTTATATGCCTCATTCCATGATCTTCAGTGTGCTTTGGACTAAACACCCTTCTAAATCTCTTGTGATCAGCTGTGTCATTATCCTTACCACTTGTCCTTAACCTTGACTCAAACAAAGGCCTAAGCACATGTAGCTTGCTCTTAGGCACATGTTTTCATTATGTATTCACTGCCAGGTGGAACTAAACTTGCATCTTTATACCTGCTATTGTTTGAAGCACACATTGCATTTCACTTGGAAGAAGCGTTACTGTGCAAAGCAGCATTAACCAAAATTGTTTTGTGCTGATAAATAGATAATCCTGACACTGAGCAGCAGAGCTAATTATCTGTCTGGGAAAAAGGTGCAGGCTCTATTTAGGTCAAAGGTAACAGATAAATTGCTGATACAATTATTTCTAGTAACTGTCTCATAAATGCCTGTGTGCATTAACACATGCATAGATCTCCCTAGGTGAGTATGTTCCTGGCAAAGAGGCAGCTGTCTAAATAAATCTTTAAAGCAGCTTCTGCTCAGTGATACAACAGAAATGAGGAAGAGACATGCAGATGAAAATAATTTAAGGCAAAGTTAGATGAAATCAGATATCTCATCTTCTATGGGGAACATCAAAGACATGTCATCGCAGAGTGAAATCTTCCCAGATGCTCAAGACTCCTTTCCCCACCACTAAGCCCATTTTCCCAGAAATTTTTAATTTTTTTTTCACAAAACAATCTGAAAAAGCTTCTCATTTGTGTCTTGATTGATGGTCTTGAAACAAACACAGAAATTAAAATGTGCAGAAACATTAAACAGGATGCTTCCTGTTCCTATATGAAAATCACTTAATTGACTTGCTGAGGCCACCTGAGTCTCGCATGTCCATTGCCCTGCTTTATCATTGCCATCCGTGTTACTAAACATTAACTCAAGATATTAAGCAAAAAAATGACAGAAATAAGATTTATGTTGGAGTAGCAAATTATTGTTGTGAGTAAGTGTAAGAATCAAACTCTAAGGATCTTGTTAGTTCTTCTGGCTTTCCAAACCACAGCATACATGTAATTCTCATAAGTCTCAAGTTCATCAGTTCTCTACCTGTGAGTCACGACCCCTTGGGGTGGCATATCAGATATTTATATTACGATTCATGACAGTAGCAAAACTACAGTTACGAAGTTGCACTGAAAACAATTTTATGGTGGGGATCACCACAACATGAAGAACCATATTAAAGAGCCACAACATTAGTAAGGTTAAGAATCACTGCCCTAGTTGAAGATGGAAAACATTTCATTTCCCATTATTATTCCAATTGAATTTAATTTTCAAAATTTATTTACTCATTTATTCATTTTTTTTACTTATTTATTGGTGTTTGAAATTGAACCTAGGGCCTCATATATGTAAAAGAAGTGCTCTACTATGGAGACACATTCCCCAGCCTGAAAATTTAAAATTATGATGAGTATCATAATGCTATGAAAGATATGATAAATAGAATTCAAATCTTACTTTGAACTGCACCATTTAAGGAAATTAAGATAAAAATCAAGGTTTAATATTTCTAAACAAATCTATATACTACAAAGGCAGACAAAACAAGCTTACAAAATTCGTACACTGAGTTTCTTTTCACAATTCACACATTTCAGTGAAATGCAAATATTTTATACATGATTTTTCTTTTAGCTTTTCCTTTTAGTGAATGAGCTTGATAGACAGAGAAAGCTCTAGGAAAAAATCTCTCTTCTAAAAGTTCACATACATATTCATGATGTTTTCTTCATAAAGAGTCACCATTATGTACAGTATGGAAAGAGATCCCAAGAAGTCTTTCCTCTGTGATTAACTGAACTTCAAACTACATCTTTCTAAATCTTCATATTTTTCCATGTGAAACCTGAAAAATATTAAATTTGGAGAGATTTTACACCCTCAATACTTAGGCAGTAGAGTCATATCAGGATCGGGTCTTTTTATACTTTGTTAAATGCTCCTACTCCGTGAAGTGGAGATTGCTGCTTGCTTATCTGTAACATCCTGGGGTGGGGATGGTTCCAGAAAACAAAAGGACAGACAATTCAGTCATCAGCTTGAAACGTGTTTCTTTTCCCCTTCTTCCAGCATGCTTGTCTGCCTCTGTCTTCCTCTATAGTTATCTTCTTGTCTGCCTTCGTAGCTTTTCCTCCTTTCTTCCTTCCTCCTTTCCTTTCTTCCCTCCCACACTCCCTTCTTCTCGTCTCTCTCCAGGTTTCGTTCCTCGTCTTCTCCCTTCTCCCACTCTATCTTCCTTTTTCCCTCTCCCCTGTTCTCTCTCCCTTCCTACTGCCTTGTTGGTCCTCCCCAGACTTTCCCTTTCCCATTTTCATTCTCTCTTTTGAGTGCTTATTAACAGAACCTTTCCTGCTCTTACTTTATGACATTTTTTGTCAACGTGTGTAACAGGCAATTAGGGACGGTTTTCATGAAAAGAATGGCATCCAGTCACCTAACAAGAGCTGGTCCAGGGAATACGGTCACCAAATATTTGTCTACTTTTCAGGTCACGGGACAAGATTCACCTCTAAGTCCTTAAAAAAAAAAAAAAAAAAAGAGTGGTTGAAGATAAAGTCTGTTATGCAAGATTTTCTCCCTTAGGATAATAGGTTCATTGGGAGTTGAAGGTACCTGTAGACATGTTAAACTTTCTGACTCTAATAACATGTTTTGGTTTTAACTTTCAGAATTTGACTTAAAAGTGTAAGACTGCTTTCATACCAATGAAGACTGGTCTGAAGGTCACCCCCTTGTAAAATGGTGTACTTCTTCACCAGTGAGAATTTTCACCTCTCACGAACAGGCTGGTGGTATCTATGCTTTCGAGTCTATCCCTGGCTGCTTTTCTCCTCACAGGTGGTCTCTGCTTTCTCTTACAGCATAGGGGGAGAAGTAGGGCGAAGCCAGGACTCCAGCTACGCAGGCAAGCACTTCCGCATGGGGTTCATGACGATGCCTGCCCCTCAGGACAGACTGCCGCATCCCTGCTCCAGTGGATTCACCGTGAGGTCTCAGTCCCTGCACTCTGTCGGGGGCACTGAGGATGACAGCAGCTGTGGATCCCGGAGACAGCCACCTCCCAAGCCCAAGCGAGACCCCAGCACCAAGCTTAGCACCTCATCGGAGACAGTCAACAGCGCTGCAGTCAGTAAAAGTGGGAGACCTCTGGAGAGGGCGGAAGGTAAACTCGCGGTGCCCACTTCCCAGTCATCTCCAAGGGCGTCAGCCTCTGGGAACCTGTTTCCTTCTGCTGGGTCCCAGGAAAGAGACATCAAGGGTAGGAGGCATTATGGTGTGTTGTCAAATAACACCCAATCGTACTTAACGTGCTCAGCCAGAAAAACCAGATAGTACAGGTGATGTGGTTGGGTAGCAGAGTGCTTTCAGTAGCAAGTGGGAAGTCACAAGTCCAGCCCCAGTACAACAACAAAACAACATCACCTTGTCCACTTTTGTTTTCTTACTTGCATTGATTTGCTATTTACATAATTAAAAGACTTGTTAGGTGATCGTTAGAACATTTTATGAGGGAGATTTTAATGTGAGAAATATATGAAGAAAAATTTATGGTCATACCTTTCAGAAATAACCATTTTTTTACATCATTTCCTTCCTTGCATATCTGTATCAGCTAAGTATTTCAGTCTCTGCTTCCTTCAATAATCTTATTTCTTCCTTTGTAGTTTATTTTTCCCTCTCAGTTATGAGATACACAAATCAAGCACAGCTACTGTGGGTATATGAATATATATTGGGTCACATTAGTCTAATATCTCACAAATCCGTTAGGTCTTCTAGAATAAAGAAGCTCATAGCTTACTTGGGCTTTTCCCAAAAGCCCCTTAGTCAAAGTGAAGCTGTCAGTGAGCTTTGACACAGCTATCCCAGTTCACGCTGTTCTACCAAGTTGCCATTTTTATGGCTGGTTTATGAAGAGTGGCAATTCATTTCTCCAGCTCTGCTGAAATGCTCAGGAGCCAACATGATCTCTGAAGAGAGCTCCCCTCAAGGTTTTGGAATCTTGTCTTCTGATATGCCTGCCTTCTATGAGATGGAACTGAGTGTAAGAAAGTTAAATAATCTTGTCTGTGAAGGCTCTGACCTTGGGTCCTTATTGACTCCCAAATACACCACCTCCCCAAACCATCACACTGGCTTAAGTTTTCAGCACTTTAATTTTGAGGAACAAAGTATTGTGTCTCTTGTTCCGAGCCAACTGGATGTTTGTGTGTCAGTTGTGAGGCATGCCTCAAGGTCTCCAATGCTGCCAGCGGTGAGTCAACAGAAGATCTCTATCTAGCCCTGTGGTCTTTCTTCTACCCTGCCCATTCCTGAGTTTGAAACTTCCCTGAGCCCCAGAGTACTACGTTTCAGGTCTGTCTGTAATGAGAGGAAGCCATGTCATCTTTTTCTCAACTTACAATTCTTTACCAGCAGAGATTTCCAGTTCTTCATGAAGGTTCTGGCCTGACTCTTTGCCCAGGAGTTCACATGTAGTCTGAGAGATAAGATGCCTGGTGGTAACATGGCACCTCTCCCTTCACTTTTCTCACATCGTTCTCCTTCTTGCTGCCCAGATATAATCTCAGTGAATGGATAAACAATACAGATCAATACCTGGAAATAGAACTAATCCCTCAATTTTAAAAGGACAGTTTTCCTCTTTAATATTCTGTTTGTCCACACCTAGAGTACATTAGCAAAAACATACCATGTGTGCATGTAAGTTTGAGATCTGGAAACCATAGTATAGAGTACTCACTTCATTTTCAGTATGTATTTTCATTGTTTTATTGTGACTCATTTCCATGGCATCCAATTTTAAGGAAAACACTACTTTTACAGAGAGAAATATTCATCACAAGGATTTACTTATTATCTATTTTGTTGGTAATTTAAAAAACAACTTGCAATTTGATTATCTACAGAGAAATATACAATAGTGGGCATTTGTTACGTGTGTGTGTGTGTGTGTGCAAGAGTGTCTCTTTACATTCTGAGAAGACTCTATTTCTCCTTACCTTCTGAATTCCCCTAGAATTTGAACCCATTTCCTCATGAATTTGGACCCCTTTTCTCATGATTCTGAGCTATAAGTGTGTCCTGCACCTTGTAGCACAACACATTTATGCTTTTAGAAGCAACAGATGTTAAATTTCTTTATTAATAAGAGCTGGGGATAGGAATTTTGAATTTTTTAAACACTATTCTTAAATTTTATCAAATACTTAAGCATGATGTCTTTCATTCTCTTTATTCTGTATGATCCTATGTTCAAAAATCAACAATCCTCTGTTTCTACTTCAAAAATGAACTATCCTCTGTTTCTGTTTCAGAACTACAAAATTGATTATATCAGGTTGTTTTCCAAAGAAAATTATAGATTCAAGACAGGAATCTCTGAGTGATGCATCCTGAATGTAATCCAGAGTGATTAAAAAACAAAAGGAAAGGTGGGCATAGTGGGACATGCTGCCCTCATAGCATTTTGGAGACTGAGACAGGGACGTCCCAAGTTGGAGACAAGCGTGGGCTACATAGAAAGTTCCAAGATAACTCAGGCTGCAGAAATAGTAAGAGCTGTGCCACAAGGCCATGCCACACAGCCAAATCATAGGAGTGAAGGATACACACTTCAGTTTCCTGACAAGAGGAGGGAAAGTGGAGTATGGAGATTGAAACTAGGTGCGCAGTCATGATCACCTGCTCTTAGAAGCAATGCCTGGATGACTGTCAATTACCTTAAAATGGAACACATCTTCATCCACTTGTAATGTATTGAGTGGCCAGTTGCTGAAAGCCATTGTTCTCTCTCAGGGACCTTGACTGACTAACTATCAAGGGTTCTTCAGGGATAGTCATTAAACAGAGAGTAGCCCTTTAATAATTGCTTTTGTTTTTTGAAGGCAGACCTGCGAAAGTGGCTCAGTTTCTGGGGCAAGGACTTAAGTTAAATTTGTAATAACTTAGTCATTTGTAAAAATTACTTGCTGGGCTCTGCGGCTTATGGACCAGCAGACCCAAATCCAACATTTCTCTTCAGAAGGGAGCTCTCAGGAGGGACTGGAGGGCCCTCAGCTGTGTGGGTATATAAGGGTCTTACATAAACTGGATGACGGTTCAGATCCAGTAAATGGCAGAATAGTGCTTGCTACCCAAATTTACCTTTCTCTTTGGAGCTCATGAGAAAGAACAATTGCAAAGCTATATGCACCCAACTGTCTCCTAATAAGTTATTAGAGTAATAAGGACAAGGTTGAATCAGGACCCACTTCAGAGATGGGAAGAAAACTCTTGAGTCCAAGAGCACGTACACATATGTCCATACTCAAATCCAAAATTATTTAAATATGTAGATTGATCTTTTATGAATCCTCAGTTCTTTATAATCAGGAGCTAGAGTTTGTTACAGAGCTCATGTTTTCTTTACCAACTCCTTTCTGTCAACATTATAACAGAAGAAAATGTGATTTTTTTAAATACATCTTAGCCTGTCTTTTCTTTTTTACCTGAAATGCCAGCAAAATCACAATATTGATTCGAGGGCATTAGAATGATTTCCATGGTAACCAGCTGCTATTTAAAGAGAGGATTATGACTTCCCTGTGGATAAAAGTAAAAGGAAGTGGACGTTAGCAAAAATAGCTTTCAGAATTACGAAAAGGAAAGAAATTTGAACACATACACACACAAATCACAAAAAAAGAGGAAGAGTAAGATTTGGTATTTAAAACTTGTTCTATCACATTTGAATATACATTGGCTATCCAAACAGGATCTTCTACCATAGTAATGCCTCTAAAATTTTACCAGTGGCTAACATAAACTGGCAATCATCAAACTATAAAAAAAAAGTTCTTTAGAAAGAACATCAGGTCATAGAACCTGCTTCTTCTGAGTCTTTCAACCAAAGAAGCAGCTGTGAGGCTTCACCTTGGTTATCACCCTGGCTCTAAAGAACCCATTCCTCCTTAAATACAATCAGAGAAATACCGCCTTGGCCTGGTCAGGGGATTGCTCACAGAGTCAAGAAGCAAGTGACAAAATGAGACTTTTCTTTTTAAACTTCGAGATAACATCTACCATACCAAAATAGGATGGTGCTATTCCTCCCTCATAGCTTTATGACACCTGCTGTGTCAATGCTAATTGTGTGCTTGAAAAAAAATAAATTGCTAAAGAAATATAAGTTTAATACACTATTAAATGTCATTAGTAGTCCTCACATCACAGGTATTCAAACCAAATATGGAAGGGAAAGAGAAGATGCATTCACCCGCTCTCCACCATGGAACATAAGTGGCTGCTATAAAAATATGATAGGAGAAAAGTGCTGGCAAGATTGTGGAGAAATCCCCTTTTCCCTCTCTGCTCTCTCTCTCTTTCTGTCTTCTCTCTTTCTCTCTCTCTCTCTCTCTCTCTCTCTCTCTCTCTCTCTCTCTCTCTCTCAATAAAGCTTTAGAAAGGTAAAAAAAAGAATGTGGAGAAAGGGGACGTTTTGTACACTGCTAGTGGTGATGTTAAATTGTGCAGATGTTATGGAAAACAGCATGGGAGTTTCTCAAAAACTGAAAATAAAACTGCATTGGCATCTGGCATTCTCACTACAGGATATACATGTAAAATCCTTTTTGTGTAATCCTTTACTGCATAATTATTCATAATTGTCAAGTTATGGAATCAGCCTAAGTCTGGCAACTGATAATGGATAAGGAAAATAGGGTCTGCACACACAGCAGAATATTTTTTTCATTAATTAACTTTTTTTTTCTGCAATATGGAGGAATCTGAAGGATAATGTGTTAAGTGAAATAAATCAAGCACATTAAGACAAGTGCCATAGCATCTCACCTATATTGGAGTGCATCGTAACTGACCTCATAGAAGCTGAGTAGAATGAATGTTACCAGGAGATAGAGTTGGGGGAATATCATCAAAGGATATGAGTTTAAATTAGATGGGGTGAGCACTTAAAGAGATTCACTGTGAATTAATAGTAACTGAGTCAATCACAGTACACACCACAGAGAACAGATATTATTGTTTTCTTTATTTATTTCAAGATTTATTTAGTTTTAGTTTATCTGTGTATAGGAGTGCTTTACTTGCATGTATGTACACCACCTGGTGTAGTGCCATAGGTGGCCAGAAGAGGGCTTTTAATCTCCTGGAACTGGAGATAAGGATGGGCTTGAGTGAATTTGTGAGTGCTAGGACCTGAGCCTGGATTCTTAGCAAGAGTAGCATTTGTTCTTAACTACTGAACCATATCTCTAG